AGGATATGTTGAGGGCGTACGTTATTGATTTGGTAGGAGTTGGGATTCCCACCTACCGCTTGCAGAGTTCGCCTACAACAACAGCTATCATTCCAGTATTGGCGTCCCGCCTTTCGAGTTGTTGTATGGTCGGAAGTGTAGAACCCCAGTCTGCTGGGGTGAGATTGGGCACAGGGTTATGGGGCGGACAGAGATAGTTCTGCAGACTACCGAAAAGATACAGCAGGTTAGACAGCGTTTGCAGACCGCTCAGAGTCGGCAGAAAAGCTATGCCGACAGACGCCGATCTGAGTTGGAATTTCAGGTGGGTGACATGGTACTCCTGAAAGTCTCACCCTGGAAGGGTGTGATCCATTTCAGGAAGAGGGGAAAACTGGGTCCCCGTTTTATTGGGCCGTTCAAGATCGCTGCCAGGGTTGGCAAGGTGGCGTATAGGCTGGAGCTTCCGGAAGAACTTAGCCGGATTCATAGCACGTTCCATGTTTCGCAATTGCGGAAGTGTATCATGGACCAGGAGGCAGTGGTATCACTAGACGACATTCAGGTCGATGAGCGCCTGAATTATGTGGAGAGGCCGGTAGCCATTTTGGAAAGGAAGACGAAGATCCTTAGGAATAAGGAAATACCTTTGGTGAAGGTGCAGTGGGAACATTGGAGGGGATACGAGTGGACATGGGAGCCGGAGGCGGAGATGCGCGAGCATTACCCGACATTGTTTATTCCAACGGACTTCAAGGGCGAAGTCTAGTTCAAGTGGGGGAGAGTTGTAACGCCCCGATTCTCAGGTATTGTTTTAATTAAGATTTTTGGGTTAGGCCTTACTCGACGAGTTGGTTGCCCTACTCGTCGAGTAGCAGCGGGGTGGGATCGCGAGTTAAGTGACCTACTCGACGAGTCCATATTTAAAGGAACCTTAGCCTCCCTTAGGCCTCTTTACAGTTCTAGAGAGTCCTTGAGAACCCTAATTCGTGTGTGTGTGCCCATTGTGTGCTTGAAGCTTGAAAAGAGGATCTTTGGAGGGAGAAGGCGTGGAGGAGAAGGAGATTGGAGCAAGTAGAGTGTGGGAATCAACACTTATCTCAGTTATCATCTTCTAAAGGTACCCAAATCACCGTTTTCCCTTGTAGATCTCTTCTATTGGTTGAGTTTTAGGGTTTTTGTGGAATATTAAGTTGGTAAGATGAGCTTTGGGCTAGAGCTGAGGTTGTAACTTCAGATCTGGACCCTTCTTGGATTCTAGAAGCATAAAGTTACAGTTTTGGTCATGATTGAGGTCCCTCTTGATCATGAAGCTCCATTAAGAACTTAAAATAGGCATTTAGAGCCTTTATAGCCATGCATGCACGTAAAGTTTGCAACTTTACGTGATAAGCATGCCCTAGAAGCTTGGATCTGTGATTTGGAGCCGCTGGATGGCTCAAATCAAGTCTGTATGGAAAAAGGACTGAATGGGCTCGGCGAGTCTCAAGGTTGACTCGGCGAGTCACATGAAGATGGCCGTGAACTCGACGAGTTGGATGAACAACTCGGCGAGTCCGATGAAGATTGCCTTAGACTCGACGAGTTGTATGAACAACTCGGCGAGTCGGATGAGTTTTCTCCAGAATATGTATGCGTGTGTAACCGTCGAGTTGCAAGAGGGAAACTCGACGGGTGGCCTTAAAGTTTGATCGAGAATCGGAGGAACTCGACGAGTCACCTCGATGACTCGGCGAGTTGGAAAGTGCTTCAAGGAACTCGACGAGTAGCCGAGGGTACTCGGCGAGTTAAGGTCAACATGGATTGTTGACCTTGACCGAGGACTTTGACTTTGACCAGGGGTTGTCTAGAGAGGTATGGAATACCTTATAAGGTTAAGGGCTTATGAGTATATTGTACTATGGTAATAGGTGGTGGAGCCTGTGTCAAGTGATTCGAGAGTGGGGATTTATCTGCCGAGTCGACATCTGCGAGGTGAGTTATCCTCACTATATCGATAGGGTCTAAGGCACCAAGGCCGGCCCTTTGGTTGTTATCGTTATGGTATGTTACATGTGGATATGATCTGTTAGATCGGAATCAGGATAGACAGTATGTTATGCTTTTTATGATCCGTAGGGATTAACATGTTAGTGACCTGCTAGGTCAGTGCTCTAGTTATGAGAGATTGCTATGTTTGGTGACCAGTGAGATAGATATGTTTGATGTTTGTATATGCCAGTATATGTTAGTTATGCGCACATGGTTAATTGCTTGTTGCTTGGGTTGAGGCGGTCATGCTTTGTGTTGAAGGCCAACACACCCTATGAGCGGTCCGGGGAGATTGTAGGCCCACATGGCGGTCCAGTCATGCCGAAGGCTCGGTATAGATTCAGTTGGACTGTAGGCCCTGTAGGGCGGTCCAGTCAGGCCGATGGCCCAGTATGCATGTTGGTTGATTGATTATTGCGAATATGGTATTGTAGTGTGGTATTGGTATTTTGGGGGTAGCTCACTAAGCCCTTGGGCTTACAGTTTTCAGTTGTTTGTTTCAGGTACTTCAGGAGATCGTGGCAAGGCAAAGACGTGACCGTACCGCTCCTCATCCTTATGATCTGTTTAGGGACACTCTGATGAATAATGTTTTGAAAACAATTTGTAAACAGATACTTTTTGGGTTTTAATTATGATTGGAAAAGTTTAAATTTAGCATGAAATTTATGGATGTTACACATATAAGCAAGGCAATCCGGGCGTGACAGATACAAAACCCTTTCATCAAACCAGAAAAAAGCACGACAAAATTTACAAATAAAATTGCAATCGCCGATATCGTCATAAGAAGGCAAAAGTAAAGCATCGTTACCAATAGAAGAAGATAATCCTTTTTTGGAAGAGAAAAGTGCAGCTAAATGGGGAGAAAAATGGCGTTTAGAAGTGGAAGTTGCAGACATGATATTATAGAGGGAGAATTACAAAACGTACCTAAAGAACGAAACCTGTAAGGGAAAATACGAACGCGACAATCGAAGAGAAAGGAGGAGCAACCGGAAAAGATGAAAAGAAGTAAAGAAAGCGTAATAAATATCATTGGTGGAATGGGCGGCTAGGCGATAAGAAAAGAAGATAAGAAGGAGAAAATATATCAGGTATGTACAAAAGAAGGAAAATGAGAACATCGGTGTAAAAAAAACAAAAACAAAAGTCCCGTGTCCAATTATGAAAGAGAATAAAAGTTACTGCAGCTAACCATTTTAAGCTTTTATGGTATATGTAATGTATTGGTGTGTGGATGATCTTTATTTTATTTTATTTTATTTTATTTTATTTTAAGTTCCAAATACAATTATTTTCTTTTTTTGTATTTTGGGGGCTATGAAAATTCTTTATGAAATAAAGGGGGTTTTCTGTACGAGATGAATTCTGAGAGGGTTTCTTGAAAATATGAACTCTCGAGGATATATATAAAGCGGAGAAGATTGAAAGTCTGTAGTTACCCCAAAGATTTGATTTCAAAAGCAAAAAAGGAAGAACACAGGAACAAGAGATCGTAAGGGTTTTCAATGAAGCTTGGTCTCGATTAAGAAAGGTATAATTCAATCGGAAAGCCCTAATTTCTACATCTTCTTCTCTGCTACGATAAACCCTAAACTTCACCAACTAGGCTTAACTGAGCGAGTCCTACTCGTTCTTGTCAATCGAGTTTGAGAGCTGGAGTCCTGGTGAAGGACAACATTATCCTCGATGGAGATAATTCAGAAGAATTCCGTTTGAGAATTGGTGTTTACCTGCGAATTTTATTATTCCATCCATATAATTTAAAATGTTCTGGAAACCCTCGTTATTTCGTTGTCTCCTTCAAACAACGATTCATTATATCTTGTTTCTTTGTCGTTTTCTTGCACCTCTACAAGCTTCCTTTGTTGATATGCTACATAAATCTCTAATTCTGCTGATATGTTTCAGATAGATCAACTTTCCTCATGGCGCCAACAAGAAAGTCTAGAAGTGTAAATAAGCGGTATTCCGACTATGTAGAGGTCTCTCCCAGTAAAAATGTTGCCAATAAATCCGGACGGCAGGTGAGTATAGCTTATAGAACACGTCACAGTCTCATAAAAAGAATTTATTCGACATTAATCTCTGAACCTAGTGGTCTTGTTATTGAACTGGTTATTTATAGTTTTGAATTTAATACATTACTGTTCAGTAGTTCCTTCCCCCAAAACAAATGATTTGGTTAAAGCTTTTCACAGTGGAGCTCATTCTGTTTGGCAAGAGGGCTTTTCCAGTCTTTTGGTTACCATCACAACAGTATATGATCATACATTTCTATTGCTGATGATATTTACAGATCAACAATTCTTGCTTTCACTTATCTGTGAAAACTGACTCTGTAGGAAAACTTAAGCACATGCTTGTTTTATATGTATTATGTATCTGTTGTGCTGTATACAATATAGTACTCTAGTAAAACACATCGTCCAATCTTTTGTTTTATATGTTATATTTTATCTTGTCCATAATTAATACTAGTTTGATAGTTTCAATTTTGGTTAATCAATTACAAATAAAGTTTATATCTTTTCTTGGTTGCGTTTGAGATATGTATGAAGATACAGTAAGCATGGGGCAGTTGCATGGTCTATAACATGTTTGCTATGCATCCTTGACTCCTTGTTCATTATTTTTTGATATTTCTTTGATGATTAAGGAATATTCAATGTAAATCAATTAAATTTTTCTCTTCACTTGACATGATATTCTGGCAAGAAAATTTGGTGATCCTGTTTAACACCAAATTCCATTGTGCAGAAGAGGAAGCTTTCTGACATGTTAGGGTCTCCATGGACTGATGAAGAGGTTGAGCGCTTCTATAAAGCCTATAGGAAATATGGAAAAAGACTGGAAGAAGGTATGTGCTTCTTCTTCTTCTTCTTCTTCTTTATATGGTGAACTATCATCATCATAACCAATTACATCTACTTATCTACCTCAGAATCTGATTGGCTTATGTGCATTTGTTTTTTCCATTGAAATCTAGGTGGCTGCAATGGTGCGCACCAGGAACTCTGAAATGGTTGAAGCCCTTTACACAATGAATAGGGTAATTATTCATTTTTCAAGTATCTCTAGAAAAAGCATTCATGCTTGAGTATTTACTTTATAATGCTTGTGATAGTAGCTTTCAGGATTGAAGATTAACTTTTTGACACTTGTGATTTCCAGGCATATTTATCCTTGCCAGAGGGAACAGCTTCTGTGGTTGGGTTCATTGCAATGGTATCTGATCATTATAATGCCATGGTAAGATCATATATCACTTTGCTGAATGTAATCTTCTACTTTAGCTTCTAAATGTTTGATTTTATCTTCCATTTATTGACAGGAAGGAAGTGATAATGATCAAGAAAGCCATGATATTCCAAAACCAATTCACAAGCCTAAAAAACGTAGCCATGGATTGCTTCAACAAAATGGAGGTGAAGAACAATTACATTCCAGATTAGTTGTTGGCTCAAGTGGTAGGAGTTTGCCACAACTGAAGAGAAGGGAATCCGATGGTAATAACTAATAAATATTGTTGGATTCAAATCCTCAAATATGATTATTTAATTGTTTTTCTTTTTTTTCAACTTCTAATAGTTTGAAAAACAATGTAGGATGCACTGTTAGAAAAAAGGACACCCCGTTTCCCTATAAATCATTCATCTAGAAGAGACAACAACAACATTGGAAATTATCCCTCACCTTACAAAAGAAGTCAAAGGAGAGAGGTTGATGACGTGGCACATGGTGCTGCATTGGCACTAACTGAAGCTTCACAAAGAGGAGGCTCTCCACATGTGTCTCAATCCCCATACCACATGAAGTCCACTCCTTTAAAGGGCAGACAAAAAATTGTATGTTTTTATTTTTTTATTTCTTTGTTAGATGCTTTCTTTAATCTTTACAAATTAAATTCCATTTACAGTTGGATACAGTGAGAACAAAGCGTCATGGTAATTTGATTGATGAAGAATTATTTGAGGGTAGTTCGGGAAGTGGAGGAGCTGAAAATGAAGGGTACCAGAAAGGGAGAAAGTTTTATGGGCAAAAAGATGATAATGACCTTGATGATGGTGGGGAAGCGTGTAGTGGCACAGGAGAAGGACTTGCTGTTGGTGTGGGTGGGAAATTTGATGAAAATATTGAGCACTCATCACAGGGTAAAAGAAAAAAGAACAAGAAACTTCTATTCAGAGGTATTCTTGTTAATGTAATCATGTGAAACAATCTTAAATGATTAATAGAATGATTAGAATCAGCTCCTAATTCTTTCACCTAATTTGTTCAGATGAAACTTCTGCATTGGATGCACTACAAACATTGGCTGACTTGTCATTAATGATACAATCATCAAAAGGCGATGGTAAATTTATCATGCATAACAAACATGATAATAGAATGTAATCATTTAATGACCTATTCCATTCCTTTGTGATGATTCTGATTCAACTTCTGTGTGCAGATTCACCTGTATTAAAAGAGGATAAGCCAGCAACGGGTACAAATGACAACAACGCCCCTGGAAGACCTGGTTCTACAAGCAACCGGAGACACAAAACCAAAGTGTCAGTTGAGAAAGAGAAAGTAGCAAATGAGTTCCCTAGAGGTGAATCTTCTAAATCAGGAAAGTCTAAATCAGGAAGGGAAATAAAAGTTGATTACAAGGCTTTATCTGAAGGAAAACAGAAAAGAAAAAACAAGTCCACATCTTTTGAGGTTTTCATTGAAGAAGAAAAACCTACAGATAAACTCTTACATTCCAATTCCAATGCCAATGCCAATGCTCCTTTGAAAAATAGTAAATCCACAAGACTTGTGGAGTATTCTTCTTCAAATAGTAACACTTCAAGAACAGGTGCTGACTCAGCAGTATCAACAGCAGTGGTTCCAGCTTCTGATGGAGTGGAATTGCCATCCAAAAGACGAAAGAAACGTAAGATGGATCGAAATATAATATCAAAAACAGGGGAAATGAAGTTGACAAAAGTCAACTCTAAAGATCAATTGAATACAAAGTCTGAAACCCTAGAAATGGCAAACAACTTGAAGGTAGTAGTCATCAATCTTCTCTTGTATAAAAAGACTATGATACCCTCGTTGCTCGTTATAGATATTGAAATAAATGAAAATGAAAATTGCAGGAAAAGGCTTTTCATTGCCTCTCATCATCTATGGTGCGTAGATGGTGTACTTATGAGTGGTTCTATAGTGCAATTGACTATCCATGGTTTGCTAAAAGAGAATTTGTGGAGTATTTAAACCATGTTGGATTAGGGCATATTCCAAGATTAACCAATGTTGAATGGGGTGTTATAAGAAGGTAATTTTATTCCTTTATTCTTGACTTTTGACAGTTGTTGTCTTTACATAAAGATTCATCATCTTTAACATTTTCTTGATTTTTTTTTTAGTTCATTGGGGAAGCCTAGAAGGTTCTCGGAAAATTTCTTGCGTGAAGAAAGGGGAAAACTTTGGCAATATCGGGAATCAGTACGTGAACATTACACGGAGCTTCGAAGTGGGGCCCGGGAAGGACTACCAACTGACCTGGCAAGACCTTTGTCAGTAGGTCAACGTGTGATTGCTCTTCATCCAGAATTAAGAGAAGTTCATGATGGAAGTGTGTTAACTGTTGATAATGATAAATGTAGGGTTCAATTTGATCGACCTGAGCTAGGTGTTGCTTTTGTCAAGGTAATCTTCTTTCTTAATTCTTTCTAATCATCTTATCATCCCATCTTTTACATTTATACTAATAAAAATACTACTTTTTTTTTGAAGGATGTTGATTGTATGCCTTTGAATCTGTTGGATAACATGCCTGAAGCTCTGAGGAGAGAGATGAGTGCACTTTATAGATTTTCTATGATCTCTGGTGAGCCAAGGTTGCCACATCATCATTCATTGATGCATACTTCAAGTGAGCATTTCGAACCGGGTCCTACTATTGCTTTGATGAATCACAGACTGGTTAGTTTTCTTAAAATTATTTTCTGAAAAAAAAAAACCCGAACATATGTTAATAAAATTAAAAATTATATGTTGTTTAGGGACAAAATGGGTCTGGTGCACCTCTTAAAGCTGCAGACAATGTTGTTATCTCACAGCATCAGCATGCTGCAGCCTCTCAAATTCAGGCAAGAGAAACCGATATACATGCACTTTCTGAGCTTACTCGTGCTCTTGATAAAAAGGTATTTCTCTTCATTTCATACTTTCTTTATTATTTCTTCTCTATTAATTAAATTTCTAATTCTTGTTAATTCTGATTTGAATGAATTCTAGGAAGCAATATTGAAGGAGCTTAAGCTTGTTAATGACAGCTTATCAAGTCACAAAAACGAGACAGGTGTCCCCATGAACGTATCCGAAAGCTTCAAAAAGGAATACGCAATGGTCCTATTACAGCTCAAAGAAGCCAGTGATCAGGTATCGTTTATTTCATAATTAATTATTATATATTCACAAAATGTAAAGTTAATTTTAACAAATAATCTTATCAGGTTGCTTCTGCTCTTGCAAATTTGAGGCGACGTAACACATACCCAGGAATCCCGATGCCTACGTGGCAAAAGCCTAATCCCGATTCCGGACCTGTTGTGGACCCCACGGCTTCTAACCATGACAACAACTTTCCATCCAATAACAATAATCAATTGGCACCTAATGTGATTGAGATTTTGAAAAGTTCAAGAAATGAAGCACATAAACTTGTACATACTGCTTTGCAGGTAATCAATGTTTTATCTGTGTAAACGTTAATTATTAATTGCTTTGTATGTAATAACCTTGTTACTTTCAGGGAATGTCTAAAATAAAGGAGGAGCATAATAATAATGTTAGGTCAAGTGTGGTAGCGGTTTTGGATTGTCTTGGTGTGGGAAAAAACCCGAGTGAACATGGGTCATCATCATCTATCAGATCTTCAGAGCAATCCAATGGGAACATATATAATAATAAGCGTGTAACAAATGAAACTGAAGCAAAAATCCCGTTTGATCTTATTGTGTCTTGTGTTGCTACGTATCACATGATACAGGTGAGTGAGTAGTTACTTATAATATATGTTAAATATTATTTATAATGGAAGAAGTATTTAATTTAATTGGTTTTGTGGATGATGATTGTGCAGAGTTGTACGGAGAGACAATACCCACCAGGTGATGTGGTACAGATGCTGGATTCAGCTTTTAGAAATTTGCATCCACAAAGCCCTCAAAACCTTGGGATATTTAGAGAGATTGAAATGTGCATGGGAAGAGTTAAAACTCAGATCCTTGCTCTCGTTCCTTCCTAGCCAATCCAATCAATTTTGGACTTGTGTATCTGGTTATCAATTTACTATTGTTATTATTATTATTAAATATTATTATACTCTATTACTAGTTTACTACACCCATTCTGTTTCTCTAGCTAATAATTACTTCTTGTTTATACAGAAGAAGCCAAGTTCTGGATATATGTGTTAACAACTTGTGCTTTAATTTAGCCACACTTGCTAAATTCCTAATCAACAATGTAGCAAATCATATACCTTTGTTTTGTTGCCTTTTTATTTTGTTTTATTCTATAGATTGAAAAATCAACTTATACGGACAAAATACCTTAAAGGAAACAGTCTATAGTTCCATAACTGCCACTATATTATATTTTGGTTTTGGTTCTTGTTCTTGTTATATATATATATATATATATATATATATATATATATATATATATATATATATATATATATATATACTAACCGTTTACCCGCGCTAAGCAACGGGTGCGAGAAATTTATTTCAGAAATTAGTTTTTAGAGGTTTTTTTGTGCAAATAGTTTACTACATCTAAACAATTATCAATAAGAGTCAATCTAGCAATTAGTTTTGTTTCGGCGGCCAATGATTAGTTTCAATTCAACAGTTTTGCTTTAAGAAACATGCCAAATTAAAAAGAAGACACATGCTAGTATCACCAAACGTAATACAACGGGCGATGAATAGTTTCCTTTTGGTGTCACTCGGGGGATAGGTATCCCATGATTCTCATTGTTAGTCTACCCAATTCAGTCCTCATATTTGATGGGATCGGGAAATCCGGCCCCATTTAAAAAATTAGACCTATCCGCAACTCATCCCTGAGGCTCTACGATATATAAGTAAAAAGTTATATTGAAGAATGAAAGACGTTTGGTTTCTTTAGCAGAATAATATCCCTCGTAGTCGTTAAACCGTAAAAGTAACAAAACGATTTTGGACTGTGATTAGTAGTAACTTTTGGTGAACGTTGAATATTTTTTTAAAATTAAAAATAGATATTAAAAATATTTTTCTTTTTCAGTTCAAAACTAAAAATATTTCATTGATTAAAACTAAAAATTATATTGTTGTTTTCCGTTTAAAATAAAACTATTTTAATGTTTTAGGTAATCAAAGAAATTACATACATACTCGGCTAATCTTTTTTGAATAATTATGATTGGAATTTTTTAAAAAATGATAAACTTTAAAAAGTCAATTTTTTAATTTATCTTATTTTTTATCGCAAGTTATAATTTGTAACATCTTATATTTATGTATATATGTATATCTATACTCTTATTATACAAATTTTGTCAAATTAGCAACAACAATATATACATTTTCAGACATAAAATTGTCCATAAACATAAAGATACTATTATAAAAAAAGAAATAAAATAAAAAATGAACTATAAATTGAAGTTTTGACAAAACAAATACTTCTTATTTGAAAGATAACACAATCAACTGTATAGAAAAATAAAAACAAATCAAACGTAACTTTGAAAATTGAACAAACTCCATATAATTCCTCATCAAGCTGAAAATAACACCAAAAAGCCATTGTTAGTCCATATCTACAACAAAACCAAAAAAATCAACATGAAACATTATGATGCAAATGCAGTGCAAAACCAAAGTCTAAAGCTTTGAGGGTTGTCGTGCATTTAGTTGGCCCTTTTCTCGGAGCAAACTTTCTCCAACATCTTTTTTTTTTCTTTCTTCAATCAGGAATACAAAAAGAAAAAGACCATACATTACCTTGATATTGAATGTACTATCTTTTTACTCTTTAGCCTATAATTTCATTAATAGTATTAATAGTATCTGTAACCGTAACCTTAGCATTAGGTTTTGGAAACTTGTATCATGATGCTTTGTACTATCCACACAATTCGGCCGCTTGTTGATATTATATTTCCTTGTGATTTGTTTGTTTTGAACAATCACCTTGAAACATTTCATATTCATATTCATGTTTCTTTTCGAAAGAAAAAAATAATAAAATCTTTAATATTTTGGTTTCATGATTTTATTAGTATTTTATCTTTCAATGCAAATAAAGATAAAATTTGACCACTTTCAATGCAAATAAAGATAAAATTTGACCAAAAATAGGATGCATGTCAATTGTCCTTCCATAAAAATCTGGGACTGACGGGACAGAGTGATTTGGGCCAAAACTTTAAGTCCATCTCGAATACACCAATCATATTTATATAAATATCTATGCAAAATGTGACCGGCCTGTTTACACTAAATTTGACCAATCGGTAAAAAAATTATCTTTTTTAATTGAAAATAAATGAAAGTCTTATTGACTTGTTGGTAAAGTTATGAACATATATTTTATTTTACTCGATTAACATTCTAAATTTTAATATACATATTATTTATTAATAAAGCTTGACAAAATAGAGAACTTTGCATGCATGCCTCATCTTTGACCGACCACACTAATTAGTGTTTTTAAGTACGAATAATGTATCCATAAATTAAATAGCATTGCCTACATTAAAATTAATTCGTTAAATTATGATAATGTTGGCTACATTAAAGTTGAATAAAATATATCCATAAATTGTGGTCTCAATTGAATTCAAATTTATATATCAGCTGCGAATATGACAAATATCAATAGCTTCAAATAGATTTCTTGTACAAATGTGATTTAAGTCGAGCAGGAGACCGTTTTGCCTCTTTCATAGATAACATTCTAGAATCTGAATAGTACAAACAATGATGGACAATGTACAACCACAAAAACACAAACTAAACATACTCAAATGTTGTACATCAGTTCCTGAATCACAGACCAATATCTTGGGACTGAATGTTAAAAGGCTTTGATTCCGAGTACTCTTTGATCATTTGATGCCTAACCTTTGACGGATTCCCCTGTCAATCAACATTATAAAATATCATCTAGTTAAATGTCCACAAAACAATCTGTTTGTAGCTAATAAAGCGTATATATGACATTTGGTTAGTAAAGGACAATAATACCATTCACTTTAAGATTTAAGATACTCCAAGAAGAAAGGCTAGGAAAAACCAATCATTTCCATGCCATAAAGACTTCCAGGAAGCTGTAAAGGTGGAAGCTTTAATCTTCCCAACTTATGTTGGTTTAATATTTTATTGATTTATTATCTCCCTCCTCCCCATAGCACAACATTTCATAGCTGATAAGTGGATAAATACTTCGCCTATGCTTAAAAAAGAAAGCAAACATCTATACCACCTTCTGTCCCATCTCATCGCCAAAATCTGCAATATTTGTTAATTACTCAAAGCATCTTCTCAACTGACCATTCACCATCCAACTTTTGTGCATACATTCAGCTATTGTAGAAGTTCACCACCTACAAAAAAAAAAAGCAAAACCACCATTAAGTCAAAAGAGAAAAAGTGGTTGCATCAGCAACAAGAAAAAGCTTCTTTTTTCATGAAAAGATAGAATTACACTGAAAAACTAAAGAGTAAGGGCTAAAAACAACAGCAATAGCAACACCAACACCATCAAGAATCAGGGCATCTCACAATCTTTATTTGCATAAACATGAACTACTCCATCTTCCATTTGAAATTTAGTTCCCCTATACAGGTTGCAATTGACTTGTCTTCTTACTCCTTCTAATCGATGTGACAAAGTTCAATCCTTACCATGGTTTCAATTGGTGCTGTTTAACATCACTATTGCAAATAAATAATTCAGTAAACAATGAGTATAAAGAATCTCTTTTCTAAACCTCAAAAGATGAAAAATGAGCAAAACAGTTCCGTCGACCACAGATTTACCTCTGATAGAGGCTAGTGACATCTCTTGGAGCCGAGTTCCATATTTGAATTAACCTTCCTCAATGCTCATATGTTTGAACACAGTTTTTCATCACTCTATCAGATTGATATTCCATTGAAACAATATTGAACTACTTTACCTCATTTCTTCCACTTCTTGCTGTTATTCCCCTCTCGCTCCTACATGAAAAAACTAACTTTTTAAAATACCGATTCCATTATTTGAGTATTACATATTACCATCTTTCCATTCTTTATTGTGCCTTCCCAACTCACACATATATGGGTTCTCTTTCAATAAAGATGTTTTGAGAAGTACACTTTACCATTAACCTGAAAACAAATAAAAAAGGTTGAAATAATAAGATATTTCTTATCTATAGAGTCTAAATTACTTTCTACAAACAAAACATAATAACTATATTTAGTTTCTTTGGCCTCTTTCCCTTTCAAGCCAACCCTCTATCTGCCTGCACATATAATTCTCACGTTCACAAGGTCATTTTGTCATGTTTTTTAGGAATAATGGTATCAGCAATTTCTTACCATCTCGTCAAGAATCCTGTCAATTTTGAAGTTTAAAAGTGACCGCATTACACTCAAGAAACTAACTTTAGCACTATATCTGAATTTCAGTTTTAGAATTCTTCAAAAGCTCATCAACATGATACTACATAAAGAATTGTAAACCAATCTAAGTACTAAAACACAAAAGATAACACACACATAAAATCAATTAATGAATCCACACTTAAAAGAAAACATATATACAGGATTCTATGTGCTCTTTTTAATTTTAATGGACCAAATGTCACTTACATATTTGAAATAGGTTTTGAATACATCGGAGTTTGATATCGTAGACCCTACACAGAAGAGCAATGATGATGTCTATGGTTTTCTCTTATTCTTCCCATACTCATCTTTACCCCTTTGATTTTGATTTATGCACCATTTTTCGTTCATGAATCCGTCTCCAATTGTTTGTGGTAAACGATCGGAGCATTATTCTTCTTATACAAAAGGGAATTAAAAATAATAATAATAATAAAAAGACCGATGAAGGTTTCACCTGGATGGAAATCATGAACATCTCTCTGAAGCGCTAGGGTTTTCTGTGAGAGTGCTAAAAACTGCAAGATTCCAAAACATAAATTAGATCTGAAAGTTTATATTTGCGATTTCAGCTCAAAACAAACCACCCCAACTTTTTCCCTTCGACATTACTTAGAAACGATCCATGCACCAAGAGACCAGATCCAACATTAATATTTTAACCATCGAAGTTTAAAGAAGGAGGAGAAAAAGAAAAGGAGAAAAGAAGAGAAACACCAGAGCAGAGCATGTATAGGTGGCCGAGAAGAAGGAGAAACTTCATTGCTGATGGATTTCTTGATAGGATTTTCAGAGAGATTTTGCTTCTTGTTTTCAAATTTTAAATTCCTGGTCTTTGAGAGAGACGACTTTTGGGGCTAAAGATTTCAAAAAAAATTGAATTGCCCGCCATGGTCGGAGGTACATGATACGGGTTGGGGCGAACGATGATTTGTGCGTTGCATCTCAATGTCCTTCAAGCTCATAACAGACATTGAACAGACCTGGAAGCAAATGATCTGCAAAATTTCAGAAAAATCAACGATATGAAAGGGGTTACGTTTAGAAAGACCAAGATAAGCATCAAATGGCTAGTTTGTTCAATATTTCCAGAGATATTAGAAACAAAAAAACCAAAAAAAAAGTATGACCTTTTAAAAACTTAAAGCAGCAAGAACCAACATCAATGGTAGATCGTTAAAATTCTTCGGAAGGTTTGCTGCAGATTTTGCGACTATTAGTAAATCAAACATGTTATAAAGATTTCCATAGAAAAAAAACATAACTCACACCTGTATTTGAGCCCTGGCACGTGAAATCGAAACACACATGTTAACATACACAAAGTAAGAACATAAAGAAACTCTTGAATAACCTACCTCGATCCGGTTTATACTGTGAGATGTCTGGTGGCGATAGTGGAGCCACTTTAGGGATATGGTTTCCGGTGTGCGATGGTGGCGTTGATGGTGGCAGCGAGATAGAGTTAGGGTTTCTCGTCTCGACATAAGGTAGAAGCGGGCGGCAGATGCCAGTGAAGGTAGGTAACGACAACGTCAGGAGGTTGGTGGTAACCGAGGCTACCGGAGATTGAAGAGAGTAAGGAGGGAAACAGAAGAGATCTGGGAGAAATGACGGCTGATGGAACATATTAGGGTTTTCCAAATACGCGTGTGTATACGCTTACATTGTAAGCGTATAGGGTTTTCCAAATGACGGCTGATGGAACATATTAGGGTTTTCCAAATGACGGCTGATTGTACGTGTTATAAGAGTTATACCTCTTAATTTTCAAGAAATAGGCAATATGTTTAATAATATATATATATATATATATATATATATATATATATATATATAAAAGCTACCTATGTTTGTAAAAGATTTCAGTTTAGTAGGTGTTGCGCTAAAAACTTACATGACTTCTTATTCTTATTAACCTACATGATGTTTTTTGAAACCATTTTTTATTTAGACCATTCACTATATCCACCACTAAGGTTGAGAGAAATGGCCTTGCTAAAACCATTCTCTAGACTCGCTAGGGGGGTTGCTAAGGGAGAATCGCTACAGATGTAGTGAGAGGAGAGAGTACGTAGCTTTGTTGTGATTGGTGGAAGCCTTTGACAATGGATTGCATTGACCAAGAACTCGATTCCAAACCTAAAATTCATTTAACTTATAACTACTTTCTACACTTAAAAATAACGTTTTTTTAATAAATTACACTACACCCTCAACATTTCAAACACACACACACACACAAAATCTCATTACCTCTCTTACAAACACTCTCAATTCACCAAACAAAAAATGTCTTCATCAACTCAAAATCTCCATATTTGTTTTTGTTTTTTTGTTTAAAGCGTCGTTTCCACATCTTGGAATGACGTTTGCACTTCTATCATTTTTTGCTCCACCCTACTCAACATCTCCGCCTTGGTTTCTTGAATGTGGACATATCGTCAAATTTCTCTCCAAAATGATTGATAACACTAGAACCCAAAACTGACGAACCCGTACTTTTTATTTTTTATTTTTTTGCTTTATTTCTTCAAACGGGCCGACGAAGAGGTTGCTCGTCTTCAAGATTGATCGGATCATCGTTGATGTCGATGTGTGTTCGCCTGTCCGATTGTTGGGAAGTTGCATCGGGGTTTCTTGAACGCTTTGAACCGGGAGAGGTTTGTGGAGTTTCTCTCGTTTGCTCTTTCCATTTTGGAACATCTTTCAATTTTAGCCATGGTTTCACATACAGAAAAGCTTTGCGGGTTCTAAGGTTGCCTTGAAGACATTGAAATCGTTTGACCCATTTATGTTTTGGAGGTTGTCGTAAATTCCTCCAAATTTGGTGCATTTTAGTCGAATATCGCGCCACTTCGAGTTAATTTGATCGGGATTTCGAGTTTCACTTCCCGTTAAATGACAGAACAAGCTTCAAACTTTTTCCCAAAAATAATTGAAGGTTTGACTATCTCCTTCAATTGGGTCTTGGGAAGCCGAAACTAGCTTCTCTTCTTCCTCTTTTGTCCATGACACCCTTTCTTGACCGGTAGTGGGTCAGATCGTTTTTTTTTCCTTTCTTCTTTTTTGGTTGAGGTGGTGGTGAATGTTGTGTTTCCGAAACAAAATCCCGCAAATGAGGTGGTTGTGAAGGTGGTGGTCGTGATTGTTGTGGTTGTGAAGGTGGTGGTTGTGACGATTATGAATGAAATTTTTGTTGGAATTGTTGTTGAAAGGCCGGAAAATGTTGAAATTGTTGTTGGAAACTCATAAAACTACCTTGAGGTGATTCCATGGTTGGGAATTGGTGGGGGAACCGGTTTATAGCAAACTCATAAAACTACCTTGACGTGATTCCATGGTCAGGAATTGATGGGGGGTTGTATCTAACGAAAAAGCATTATTGGGTTTGCGGTTCCGATAGTGTTTTTTTTTGGTATATATATATATATATATATATATATATATATATATATATATGGGCTAGGTTATAATGTGGATGAACAACTATTGTGTGGATGTGTCGACAATGCTATTCTATGAGAATTACTAAAATAATAAGTTGTTTAGTAATGTAAATACGTTCAACCTCACACAATTATTATCATTTCCATTCATTGTCACTAATTCTTATTCATTTTTGTTCGCACATATCGTTTTTCACTTATTTTAATTCTTACAGAATACGACTCAATAAATATATTGACAACATTCTGACAGAATGTGAATAATAAAAAAAATCTATAATAATCTTATAGACAATTTAATTGGTGAGAATGCGTGATAATGACAAATAGTTATGTAAGATTGAACGTATTTACATTTTTCAAATAACATATTTTCTTTGTCATTCTCACAGAATAACATTGTCCAAACGTTCGCACAATAGATATCAGTCAACATTTGAACCGAACTCTCTCTCTCTCTCTGTATATATATATATATATATATATATATATATTATATTATATCTATATATATATATTATATATATATATATATATATATATATGTTTAGGTTCATTTGAGACCATGCTAATTTGGTGAGACCGTGAGACGCAATCTAAAAATAATTTTAAAATGCAAAATAAAAGGAAAAATCCGAAAATTCTTTTTTTAATTATTATTTCCGTCACTTTAATTACGTAAAAAAAATAAAAAATAAAATAAGAAAAATAAAAAAATATTACCGTGTTTTTTTTTTTTTGAAAAATACGTGAAATATTCTAATTGAATATTACACTGTAAATATTTTAATGTGATTTTTAGAATGTTAGAATATTCTACTAGATTTGTTAGATAAGTAAAATATTCTAATACTGTACTAGAATATTCTAAAATTCTACTAGAATATTCTAATATTCTACTAAAATATGTAAAAAAACGGTATTTTTTTTTAGTTTTTTGGTATTTTTTTTTATTTTTTTTGGAAAATATAAATAACGAAAATAATATTTGAAAAAAAATTTCGAAAATTTTCAATTATTTTGCATTTTAAAAATGTTTTTTTTTATCTACAAAATGAGTGACTAGGATTGAATCTCACGGTCTCATAAAATTAGGCTGTCTCACATGAACCTAACCCTATATATATATATATATATATATATATATATATATATATATATATATATATATATATATATATATATATATAGAGAGAGAGAGAGAGAGAGAGAGAGAGAGAGAGAGGTGTTTTAACTAAGTATTTTGTTATTTTTGAACATACTCAAACATATTCTGTCAGAATGTCCGAACTAAAAACCTTATAATTTGTAAAATCAGATTTTTAAAGTTAATAGAATCTTTGATCCCTTAAAATATGCAAATTTCCTTTATTAAATCTATGTTAACTGACTAAAATACCATTCTAGTTAAATTAGATGATATTTTTCAATTATATTTAATTAAATAATATGTATTAATCACTTTCTTAAAATAAGTAAAATGATTGGCCCACATTTATGCATACAATAACACAATAATTACTTTGAATAGAATAACCTAGGCATATATATATATATATATATATATATATATATATATATATATATTTTCGTTTTAATAGATAGGTCATATCTCTACTTTTTTTGTTACTTATTTTGTATCTCGAATATATAAATTATACAAGTTACATACCCAATATTTTGTATTTGTTTACTCGGTAAAAAAAAATACAACGATTCAAAAACCTACATTAACACATGGGCCATTTCGTTAATTATAAAATTCAGAGTTACAAAAGTATTACAAATAGGTGTAGGATTACTTAAACCAATGAATCCTTTACACTGTTTTTGTCTGACACGACACGACACGACAAAGTTTCATGTAACACGAACACGACACGACACGATCTCGTGTTTTTTTAACTAATTCGAAAACAAACCGATTAAAAAACGACAAACACGACCGACACGACAAAGATAACATGAAATAAAAATTAATGTATTTAATTAATATTTATTCATACATAACACAAAAAACACGAAAAAACACGACAAAAAATGTTAAATCGTGTCAATTTCGTGTCAAATTTTGAACACGAACACGACACGACACGACGTCGTGTTTTTTACACCTGACACGAACACGACACGAACACGAATTCAAATTTCAATTTCGTCTCAATTTCGTTTTGTTTCGTGTATTTTTGTCGTGTCGTGTCATCAATTGTCACCCCTATTTACACACAACACAAGCTAACGATTACTTATGTATGCCATATAATAATATTGTTTTGTAAATTTACTTTCACCAAATTGGTCAACTGTTTACATAATAATTCAAGATTAGTATTTAGTAACAACCAAATGCGTTTATAACATGACTTTTCGAAGTCAACGTAATTGGTTTCAAATGCACTCATGGTAATAGATCTACTAGGATTAAATTAGGTATCACTCCACTCCTCTTTCTCACACATTCAATGCAAGAAATAGATAACAATTCATTTTCATTTCTTTGTTGTATTATAATTTATACATCTTATTTTTAATTTGTTTCATTACTATATTATATTGTCAGTTTTTTCTTATCAACACATTATACTTTAGACAACCTACTTACTTTTCTTCCTATCATAATATTATACTTTCAGATAATCTTCTAAAATTTATGGGTGCAAATTGCTTTGAATTTAAAAACATATAATAAATAATAAATTGGATACATTTCTCAAAGTACAATGCTGAAATAAGATGGAATGAAAATATGATATAAAAATACACAAATAAATAAAAGTATGTTGTTATTTCTTGTATTTAACCTTTTTTTCTTGTTTGTATATATTTTGAAAAATATATCTAATAATAGCAATGAATTGTTTCATATTTGGATGATATTACTATAATTACGCTATATCAAAATGAAATAAAGTGACCACATTAAACAAATAAATAATTATACATTGTTGATTCTCACTTTCTTACATTTAACCCTAAAAAATAATTAAAGTAGTCTATAGATAACAAAAACAATGCACTTTAAAATGTTTCAGTTAAGAACTACAAACAAAACGGATAACATTAACAATTCGATGTCAACTAAAACAAACAAACAAGTGTCAAATTTTCATAATGACCTCGGAGGTTTCTCCAATAAAGCAGAAAGAAACACCTCATCTTTAGACTTATTCGAAATAGCCCATTTATGCTTCTTATACCTAAACTGCAGAAACATATACATATAATCATCCAAATCCTTCCTGCTACAAAAAAACCGGTCCACCCACAACAACCCACCCGGCCTCAAAACCCGGTCCCAATCAAACAAAATAAAATCCATCAACTGCAAATCAATCCAGCCATCCATAAACCCAGTCGTATGAATCAAATCCATTGTATTATCAAAAAAAGGCAACCTTTGATTCAATGTCACATATAAAGGAATCAAACCTCGTAGAGCAATCATTTCATTAAACGGGGCCCCAAGATTCAAAGCAGTAGACACAATCGTCACATTATGTTCCCGCATCCGACCCGCAAATGTCCCGGTCCCGATTCCAAAATCAACCCCGACCCGTATCTCACCCGGTTTGACCCGTAACACGTCTTCAATCAAGAAATCGGTTGACACCGTTGTGTTGATTACCCATTTTACCCTTTCCTTTTCCATTTCAAAACACCCGATGCATTTGGAGAAACCCCTTTTCGGATTCTTGCTCGATAAACACTCGAAGTTTCTACATGAATAGTGACTCCATCTCACGTTTCGCCCATCGGGTATTCTCCATAAAGATTCGTTTATCGGGTAGGGTTTTTGGTAGAGCTTTGAAGCTCTTGTGAGACATCTTCTTCTTGGTAATGGATCGCAACCCTTGATCATGAGATTTTGGGCGATGTTCCAATCGTCTTTACAGAATGACCCGATGTCGTAATCCATGTATTCTTCGAGTTCTTTCTTCATGGAGACACATCCATGGCCTATTGTGTTGTATACCTTTTCGGTTCCGTATATGTTCTTCTTTCCAACACGGTTTTCTTTTGGGGTTATGTACTTTTTGATTTCTTCTGTCACGAAAGTATTGATCAAAGGGTCTTCGTTTGTTGTGCCATTTTCGATTTTTGGTAGACGGATTTGTCGAAGAGTGATATGAGCGGTGTAAAGAGGTTGAATCACTTGTTGTTGGATAAAATTCTTGTAATCCAACATTGAGATGTTGGTTTTGGATAAATCTTTGTTTTTTTCAAGCTGTTCGACTGTGGATTCGAGGGTTTCTTGTAGGCTGAGCATTTTGTGGAGCACTTCGTCTACAGCAGCAGAGAGAGCCATTACATCGAATCCTTCGTAAACGTCTCTGACGCCATAGAATTGCTTGCATATGTCTTCGTTATGTATGAAGAATCCAGCTGAATAGAATCTATATAGGCTTGAAACGCTTACCATTATGACCAGTGCTCCAAGAATAATCTGAAACATGCCTAAAATTCTCCCTAATCTGTACCTTGGAAAGCATGACATCTTCATCTTAAACTATTTCACCTTAATCAAACAAATGCCACCCTAATTTGTAGTGAAGTTAAATGCATATAATCAGATATTCAACAAAACCCAGTTGAAAAACTCATTCTGTATAGTAGAGATCTTACCAGGAGGAGTTTCTTATATAATCAACGACACGAAGTCCTGAAAAGCTGTGATTAAGTCGGAAGAGAATCATATGAAGCTATGGATGATGATTATATGTAAAGGTGAGCTACAAAAAGACAAGTTTCCCTTAAAGGTGAAGAAGAGCTGTAAAATCGTGAATTTGAAGCATACTAAACGTGGATTGTGAAGGGGCATAGGAAACCGGTGCCTAATCTCGAGACAAGAAGCCGAGAATTTAGCTGTAAAATATTTGTGATCACAAATTGCATGTATAAATGGATAATTGGGATTTGGGAATGGGAAGCGTTGACTGAAAGTATAGTGATGGTGGGGTGGGTTAGGTTTACGATGACTATGAGTTCGGCTCATTTTCATTTTCCGCTGAAAACTGAAAAAGATTTCGACGGTTAAAGATGCAATACTTGTTTATGATATAATAGCAACTTTGCCATGAATGCCGGAAGAATTCTGTAAAATGGAGCGCCGGAGTTCAACGGTTGCAGGGGGGAGCCCATGAAAACAACGCTTTCTTTATACCCGCCACTTCTGCTGTTTGTTTTTCCTTATCTGTATATCTAGTATTATATAATATGTTTAAATTGGTGGATACTATGTCTCTATGTTAAAAAATATATAATTACTATGTTGTCAAAATCGCGATCTTATCATAGGATCGTAAATATCCTAGGTATGAAAAACGGGTCGGATCGTAAACAGACCGTATTAAGGTAGGATCAAGATCCGATCTGATCTTACATTCCCTTGCTTTTTTGTTTTTTTTTTCTTTTTTTGAAATTTTTTTTATAAAGCTATGTCTTTTATCCTTTACCAATGAAATGTTTATCATTTTCTGTTGTGACTTATAACTAATATTTTGAAGTTTTTATAACTTTTGAACGAAAAACTGAATGTTTGAAATATTTTTCATCTTTTAAAATTATAAATTAAAATTAGGTTTTATTTTTTGGGATCTTAGGATCCCGATCCCGAACTTGCAAACCGAAAAATGATCATACGTAAGATCCTGATCTTGACAACCTTGTTTTTTATAATTTGAAATTGACAAATCAAATATTTGCAAAAAGTTTGTTAATTTATATAGTCCTCTTGTTGGTATAAGGCAACAAATGGGATAAAATGTGAATAAGGTTGAAATAATAAAATGAAAAAATTGCAAAAATGATCAATGTGGTTGTAAAAAATATATGTTTTTGGTCCAAAAATATTTTGTAATGCATCAGTGGTCTAATTTTGGATAACTTGTATCTTTTTGGTCCAAAATATTAACTTTTTTAAAAAGATAATTTGACCTCTAGGGACTATTTCTGCAACCAAATTACAAAGATCATTTTTTTTTTAAAATTATTATACATTAATTCTTTTAATTAATTCTTCTTTGAATTTCTTTTTATTGGATTAATTTTTTTATTGTATAATTATATATTAATAAATATTATTTTAATATATAATATTTATATATTAATAAATGTTACTTTATTGGATTATTAATGTCATTTTATTAATTCTTTTTTAATTTTTTAATTGATTAATTTTTTTATTGGATTATTGTATATTAATAAATAATATTTTTAATATATAATATTTGTATATTAATAAATATTACTTTATTGAATTATTAATTCCTTTTAATAATTCTTTTTCTTTAATTTATTTTTTATTGGATTATTATATATTAATAAATATTTATTTTATATATAATATTTATATATTAATAAAAAAATTATCTTATTGGATTACTAGTTTTTTTTAATTAAATGATTTGATGTTACATTGTTATCCTTGTTAGCCATTTTAGTTTTGTTATAACCCAAAATTTGATTCTTAACCTGGTTCATGTTGGCCGCTTGAATTGGGGTTAGTTCGTTCTCGTATTCGTTTGTAAAATCCGTAATTGTTTTATGAATTGATGCTAAATGAACATGTTGAATTTGTTATGTGATGGGATTAACTTCGATGTAAACTAAAATTGCACGTATTTATGTTTCCAAGCTTGTGAGTAGTATTGGACGTTGTTGGGAACATTCACACAAAACTTAATGTGATCTTTCAATCTATCTCTAAGAGCTTGTTTAGAGTAGATTAGTAAGGTTAAGTTTAATTCAAAGAGCTTGTTTTGATTAAACAATTTAGTGAATGGAAGATGCTAGAGCTTGTTATTATCTTCCGGTACTAACTTAGACTAGAATTCAATTTGACATCGATTCATCATCAACTTCCATCAATTAGGTGATTAGAACTCGAAATCAGATTGTTTTACTCTTATTTATAGTATTTATTTACTATATATTAGTTTAGTTTGCTTGTTTTCAAATTACCCAATTTTTTTATGCCCTGGAATAAAACATGATTATTTTGGTGTATTTATGGATTAAAACCGAGTCCATGAGAATCGAACCTGTTTGCCATTATTACTATTATTTTTAAATCTTATGTGCAAATATGATTTATTGTTTGATAGATTCGACACCCATCAAACACCACCACCGCCATCCAGTCATGTGATGATTGGATGAGTGCATTTTTTAAAATAAATTAGGATGGTTTTGGTGTTGTAAAAAAAGAATTAATCCAATAAAAATAAAATTGAAAAAATTAACTAAAATAAATTAATAATCCAATAAAGTAATATTTTTTTAATATATAAATATTATATATTAAAAATAATATTTATTATTATATAATATTCCAATAAAAAAGAATTAATCCAATAAAAAAATTAAAAAAAGAATTATTTAAAAGAAATTAATAATCCAATAAAGTAATATATATTAATATATAAATATCATATATTAAAATTAATATTTATTAATATATAATAATCCAATAAAAACGAATTAATCCATTAAAAAAGAAATTAAAAAATGTAATAATTAAATGATATTAATAATACAATAAAATAATATTTATTAATATATAAATATTATATATTAAAATAATATTTATTAATATTAAATAATACAATAAAAAAATTAATTCAATAAAAAATAAAAAAAAGAATTAATAAAAAAAATAGTGTATAAGGTGTTTCTTTTGTTGCCGTAGACTAAGCTATAAGGTATTTATTAATATTTAAATATTATATATTAAAATAATATTTGTTAATATTAAATAATACAATAAAAAGAATTAGTTCGATAACAAAAAAAGAATTTATTAAAAAAATCTGTAGACTAAGCTATAAGGTGTTTCTTTTGTTGCCGTTCACGCTGTTGTTCGGTATGCCTATAACACGCTTTGCAGTTCATCAACCCATCATCCTTTGGCCTCGTTTAGTCTTGTTGCCAAGCCATGCACAATTGCCCGATTGGTGACTTCGGTTTGCCCATTTTCCTCTAGGTGCGCTATGGAAGTGAACCGCTGATTTATTTGGAGCTCTTCACACCACTCATGGAAGGGATTATTTTTAAATTGTGCTCCGTTATCCGAAATTAATGTATGTGGTACTCCGAAGAGGCAAATGATTTGCTTCCAAAAGAATTTGATCATGTTTTGGCCGATTATTGTAGCCAATGGTTCTGCCTCGAACCATTTGATGAAATAGTCTATTGCTACTACTAAGAATTTTACCTTCCCCGGTACTTCTAGGAACGGTCCAATTATGTCTATTCCCCATTGAATGAAAGGCCAGGGGCTGCTGATGCTAATCATTGGTGTTGCCCATTTTATTGGGATTGGTGCGTGTTTTTAGCACTTTTCACAACTGTAGATTAATCATTCTGTGTCTTGGTACATAGTCGGCCAATAGTACCCTATCCTTGATATTTTACGTACTATTGTCTGTGCTCCTTCAAGTGCTCCCGCCACGCCTTCATGCATATCTCTTATGAGGTATTCTGCTTCCTTGCCATTTACACATCGTAAACGAGGTGTTAAATATCCGTTTTTGTACAATATTCTGTTGTCCACTACAAAGGATGGTGCCTTGACCCTTAGTTTCCTAGCTTCCTTGTCATATGGAGGTAGCTTGCCCTCCGTTAGGTATTCTATTATTGGTTTCCTCCAGTTGTTTGTTTATGCTATTATTGACATTACCGGCTTCTCCTATATTTTTTTTACTTGTACTATTTCTACCAATACTTTCTTGGTTATATGGGAAAAAGTGGACAATGCGAGCTTACTTAATGCATTTGCACGTTTATTTTTCGACCTCGACACATGTTCTAGCCTAAAGCTTTTAAAGTGCTTTGTTAATGCTTTAACTTTGTTTGCATATTGTGATAAGTTCCTTCCTCGTATTTCATACAAACCATTTTTCTGGTTGGCGACGACCATCAAGTCTATAGAGGCGTGTATGTGTTCGCACCCCATCTTGATAGCCAATTGTAATCCTGCGATGAGTGCTTCATATTCCGATTCATTGTTTGATACTTGAAAGTCGAATATTAATGCGTAGGTTATCTCTTCCCCTGCTGGACTTGTTAATATCAAGCCGGTTCCCGAACCTTCTGTACAAGAGGACCCATCTGAAAATAATTTCCATTGATTTTCTTGTGTTGTGCTCATGTCCTTAATGTTAATGTCTGATTCGTGTATTGACAACACTTCCCTCTGGCCCTGTATTTCGCTGATAAAGTTTACCAGTGCTTGCGCTTTTATGCTGGTTTGTGGTTTGAAAATGATTTCGTTCTCTCCTAATTCCATTGCCCATTTAGCTAGTCTTCCTGATTCGCTAGTTTTAATAGCACTTGACGCAAGAGGATATTTGTGAGTACTTCGATGGTATGTGCCAAGAAATATCTTCTTAGTCTTCTTGCTGTGTTGACTAGGCATATTGACAGTTTCTCCATATCTGAATATCCCATCTCTACTCCGTGCAGTATACGACTTACAAAATATATGGGTACTTGTTTGTATTATCTATTGGCAACTAATACTACACTAGTTGCCATTCTGGATTCTACTAAATACATGGTTAGAACCTCACCTGGGATCGGCGATGTCAAAGTGGGCAGCTCGGCTAACATCATTTTGAGTTCACAAAATGCTCTCTCGGATTCTTCCGTCCAACGGAAAGTCTTTTTTCCAATACTCTTCTTAACATTTTGTAGAAAGGGTATGTTTTCTCTGCATATTTTTCCAAGAACAACCCTAGTGCTACCAGGTTGCCGTGTAGTGCTTGTACCTCTTTCACTTTTCTTTGGGACTGCATTTCTAACACTATTTCTACCTTCTTGGAGTTTGCCTTTATACCATCCTTTATGATGACATTCCCTAGGTTTTTTCCTTCCTCTATCCCAAGTATACACTTTTGTGGGTTCAACTTCATATTTACAGCTCTTAAGTTAGCAAAAGTTTCAGCTATGTCTTGCAGAAAACAACTATCATTTCTGCTTTTGATGACCATGTCGTCCATATAGGCTTCGACGTTCCTCCCAACCTGTGGTGCAAAAACTTTGTCTGCTAACCTTTGGTATGTGGCCCCTGCGTTCCTTAATCCAAATGGCATTTTTGTGTAGAAAAATTTCCCTCTCTCCACGTGG